TGTTTCTCATATTTGTTGTAGGGGTATTTTTGTCCACAGCGCTTGTTTTTCTACTCCAACAAGTGGTATCAGAGTCCAAAGTTCATCATAGGTTCATTCGGGAGGCAAACACTGCATTCAAGTTTGAAATGTCCAAGGAGATTAACGGCGCATCATTCTCTGCACTCATTCCGGCAAGGACGGTGATGCCGAACGTCAAAATCCCGGTAGAGATCTTCGATGAGACCGGTCATTTCGGCATGCGACAAGATGATGTGTAGGATTGTCTATTTCAGCAAGACATAGATATTGTCATTAAAGAAGAAAAACCAACCGACGTAGATAAGAAGGACTTGAGAATATCAACAATTTAGCATGTGAAACAATCCGTTCGTGTTTGTCCATTGAGCAAAAGTTAGCGTTCAAAAAATCTGAACTCTGTTTTTACTCTGTGGAGGCTTTGGAGGTTAAATTTATGAAGAAAACAAATAAATTAATCAATTGTTTGAATTCAATATCCTACTAGTCATCCCTACCAATGGTGTTTTTTTTTTTTTTCTTTTATGAAACGACAACTATATTAATAATTGAAATATCAAAAGAGTATTGTTGAGGTATCAACATTAAATATCATTGGAAGCATAACAAAAGTGTGAACCAACTTAATAGTTTCATTCGATTAGTTTTGTGATAGTACGGATAAAATCCCAACTTAATTCGTCTCTAAAAATAAACTCCGTGAATTCAAAAAATGATTATAACTAGAAAGAACAATTTCAAACAATGATTTGTCGCAAGAAAGAAAATTAAAATATGAACACCACAGTAAATAATTGGTTGTATTTAATTCTAACTAAACGACAATTCATGATTCAGAATTTGATTTGTGATTTGTTGGAAAATGACTAAACTATCAGATAATTGCGACAAAGACAAAATAGAAACCTAAAGAAAATAAAAGAAAATTTAAATCAAGACATTAAATTAAAATAAAAAATGTGATGGATCACTTTTTTTTATAACCAATCAGTATATATGTGGGAAGCGAAGTGAGGTACTAATAAGAACCGATAGCTCGTGGCTGGCAGCCACAAAAATTGCACGTTATGTTCCGTGTTTTCGTTTCATTTTAACTGATTTCGGAGGGTTCCGTGTTTTTATCGCACTTTAACTTATTCGGAAAGTGTATTGGTTTGAGATTATGATATTTTAATTCTTTTTATAAATTTGAGACTTTTCAAAGCCTCTCAATCTATAATATTTGTCCCATTTTTTTATTTATTTCATGTTTATTTTCTTTTTGTTTTCTCCCATTTGTAGGTTTTTCATAGTTTATTTGGTCCATTTCTTTCGTTTTTGTGTTTTTACCTTTAGTTTATAATTTTTGTGTCTTTTTGTTGTATTTTGCTTCGTGTTTTTCTGTATTTGTGTTTTCAGGAGGTAGGTTGTGCCGGTCGAGGTTAGGATTGCTTGAACTGAGAGTGTGATATCGAGAATTCCCGTGGCCGAGCCCAGAAAACGACAAAGAGGACTGAAAAACGGACAGAAAACGCGCCCAGCATTTGTCACGACTCGCGAGTTATCTGTGCGAATTTCGAGGAGCGGGATTTTAACATCAGATTTCGGTCCTAGGGATCATTATTCACTTCCAGACTTTGTTTTTACGTATTTTCTCTAGAGAAACTCATTCCTTTTCATTCTTTTTTTCTTTTGATTCGATTTGGAGATTGAAGAACTCCTTTTTCTCGCTTTGGATTTGGATGCACTTATATTTGACATTGGATTCTTTATATTAATCGTAAGTTCCTTTTCTCACTTGCTTTGTTGATGATGATGGCTTGGGTTAATATGAATTGTGATGTTAAATTCGTTATGAGTAGCTAAATCCATTTGCTAGGGATAGGGGATGATTGATTAGGTTTGTTTATAATTGAATGCTTTTGATTGTTCATGTCTATGCGAGTTGTGTGAATTATAGGGTTAGTAGATCGATCACCTTTCTAACCTAGTTAATCAACGTATAGAACCGAGAGGGGAGACATTGGTCGATTTAGGCTCGTTTAGAACAGACTTGTTCAGAAACGTATTGTTTATGTGTTGTTGGAATTGATAGTTGATCGTTTACATTTATTCTCTTGTTACGAAGAGTTATTGAGAGTGAACCTCTGAACGAGAAACGATTCAAGTCCTTTAACCGAGCAATTGATTGACGGTGATTATGTTAGAACCGAAAGCAATTATCCCCGATTCCCTAGCTCTTTAATCATTCAGTGAATTTAGTTGCAATTTTACTTTCATTTTATTCAGTTTAAATCATTAGTTGATAATTGAAACCCAAAAATATTGAATTAGAGTGTTTAGGAATTTGTCTTCTCTTTTTCATGATTGAATAAACGCACAAGAATATCCGGCTAACCGTCTTTGCGATATGACCCGTGGACGAATCTTTCGATTCTATTCTGGTAAAAATACTGACAACATATAACTTTCGGATGTGTTGAGCCTAAGTGAGACACTCTCGTTTTTCGGGATCTTATGTGGCAATTTTTTATGTTTTGTTATTTTGTTTGAATAAATTTTAATATATTCCCAATCCATATATAATTATGTTTCTTTTTTTTTTCCCAAACGATAGAGACCTTATTTAAAAGCACACAAATGTACAAAAGTACAGCCACCAGCTGAATATAGACAGCCAACAGCTGAATACAGACAGCGAACAGCTGAGTAAAGTAGGAGGACAGGTCAAAAGACCGCCTAGAACCTACCCCAATGGGGTAATACTCTAGAAACACCAAAAAAATACAACGACTCTAAAATCTTCCAAAGGAGAATGAACAAGAAGAGAATAGGAAAACAAACGACCAAAACAGGGTAAGTCCCGAGTGTATGATCCCAACATGATAATAAAGTCACACTCGGGCTAACTGAGGCCAACGGCCCAAACCTAAAACACAAATACAAATACAAACACAAACACATACCGCACTAAACAAGAAAAACCAAAAATACAAAATAAAAAGTAAAGCCCTTCCCCCGCATACAAGCAATCCCAACCAGCAGTGAACGATCGACACAAGAAAGATTCCTAGCCAGAGAATCCACTACCAAAACTGCGCCAATGCCTATACAGTAGCCGAAATCGAGCCCGAACCAATCCCCGAATCGACCCATCTTCAACCGAAAGAGAATCGACCAGCCCCCACACCAGACCACCCGAACCCGTCTAACACCACTAGTCGAACATGGGAGGGTGAAGGTGGTGCTGTCCCTCAACCCCGTCCACCACTACTGAAAAAGCCGCAACAACCGAAGCCCCACCCATCCGAGGACTCACACTCTGCCCAACACCACTACAAAGGTCCGACAAACCAGAGGCCCAGGCCCCACCAAAAGATGCGGAGCCCGTCGAAAGAGACAAAATCCAAGAATTACCGACAAAGCGAAGTTGGAGGGGCTTACCGTCACAAATCAAAGCTCCACCGGCGACTGACGGGAAGACTCTAGTCGCCATCCAAACACCGACCCTGAACGAGGCCACCATCGACCAGAACGCCATCAGGAACCTAGAACCAGACCGCCAATCGCGTCCCATCCACAGCGACATCGGAGGCGCGCTTCGTCCGGGGGGGTTGAGTGGTCAAGGACGACCCCTGGCCAGAGGCCCGCCATCACCGAAGAAAGTCAATCGACCGTGAATTTAAGATGAGACGCCGGCGAGATTTGGGGGTAGGGTATCGCGAGAGAGAACAGAAAGAAAACATATATTTTTTTTTTTTATAATATACTAGATATTTATGGACCTTTATAAGAGCATTAATATTAGTCAATTCTAGACGTGATTTATAAGTCATGATATGGCTTTAAAATTGTCGGTGCACTTTATTATTTCTCAAAGTCATATTTTTATTTTATTTTTGAATTTGTAGATACAAATGAATTATAAGCCGATAAAAATATTAATGTACATAAAAATAAAAATAGTTTTATAATAAAAAATGTTATAGATTTATGGATTCAAAGTACATATATCTTGAAAAAGGTAATAATAATTTTTCATTGACTTCTTTACTAATTGTATCACCTTGTAGCATGTGTTCATAAAACTAATCCATATATTATATAAATATTCATGATATCTCAGATTTTTTTTTTTTCGAAACGACAATAAATAATCTCATAGATAGATAATGTTCCAACATACACGGGATCCATAGTGGACCACAATCCACAAGGATTCGAGGCAAGCCAAAAGCTGCCTAGACAAACAAAGAAAAGCTAAGGGTGCAAGTAACAGCCGCAGAGCTTGCAGAGACCTGCTACTTGCCAGTACAAACAATAAACAAGAATACAATATCACAAACTACTAAAATAGACAAAACTAGCCACTGCAATTGCCTAGCTAGAAAAAGAGAAAGGAACTAAGGAGGAAGAAAGGAGATGAGGAAGAGTTAAGCCAACAGGGAGTTAAACTCTTGCCATTCTTTTACTGCAGTCTCCATAATGATGTGTTCTGGGGTCATGATATTTTGAAAAACCCAAAGGTTCCTAGTCTTCCACAGTTGCCACAAAATATATGTTGAGAGTTGGATCCTGTCATCAACGGATTTAGTGACTGGAAGTGTACAAAGATGAGCCCACCAATACTTGAAGTGATCATGAGGCTGTGCAGGACCTTTCCATTGGACAGGGGATATTTTCCAAACTCTGTCAGCTCGGGAGCAGTGAAAGAGGATGTGCTCTGCTGTCTCAGGTTCCTCCCCACAGATGGAGCAGGTGGTGTCAATTTGAATACCCCTCCTTCTCAGGTTTATGGCAGCAGGTAGTACACCAGTAAAGCATTTCCAGATGAAATGTTTTACTTTTCCTTTGATCTTTAACTTCCAGCTTCTGATTCTCATTTTCCTCAACATGGCAACATTGGCACTGCTTTCAGGAATGTCAAGCTTGAGAATTTTAGCAGAAATCAATTCAGCATAAGTGCCAGCAACTGTGAAGACTTTTTTAGCATTAAAAGACCAGATAGGTTTGTCAGGGAGATGGTTACTCAAGGATTTGATTTTGAGGATGGATTCACTTTCATGATGGGGGAAACTGTTTCTGATTAGGGTTGTGTTCCAAGAAATGCCATCTGCAGCAATTAATTCAGATACCCATGTCAGATTGGGTGATGTGGTGGTTTTTACCAAGAGTTTGCGGGTTGTGAGTTCAGGGACCCATGGGTGCTCCCAAATTTTAGTTTTCCTGCCATTGCTGACTTTCATGATAAACCCTTGTAGAAAGGTTTTTTGCAGCTTGAGCCATGTTCTCCATAACCATGATGCACTCTGAGTAGGTTTAGCTCCAAAGAAGTCTCCATTTGGGAAGTATCTGTGTCTAAGGACCCTTGACATTAGCAGGCCTGGCTTGGTGATGAGTCTCCAAATTTGCTTCAAAATAAGGGCTTCATTGAAGATATGAAGGTCATGGAAGTTCAGTCCACCAGCAGCTTTGGGGAGGGTCAACAGCTTCCAGGCCTTCCAGTGGATCCCGGAGTTTGTTCTATTTTGTGAGCACCACCAAAAGTTTGCAAAGAGCTGGGATAATTTTTTACAAGTTCCCATGGGAAGCATGAAGCATGACATTGTGTATACCGGCAGAGCACTGAGGAGAGAGTTAATGAGAACTTCTTTGCCAGCACCTGATAAGAATTTGTTTTTCCAGCTCAGTAGTCTACTCTTGACAGCATCAACAACATAGTGAAAGGTTTCACCCTTTGATCTGCCAATGCCAAGTGTCAATCCCAGGTATCTAGAGGAATGCTGCAGAGTGATCCCCTGGAGGATGTGGCAGATAGCATTCTGGACAGAAGTTGGAGTATTTTTGCTAAAGAACACTGAGGATTTCATCAAGTTAACTGTCTGACCTGTGAAGCATTTATATTTCTCAAACATAGCCATTATAAGATGAACAGAGTCTGCACAAGCTTGGCAAAATAGAAGTGAGTCATCAGCAAAGAATAAGTGGCTGAGTATAGGGCCTGTTCTTGAGATTTTCAGTCCCTTGTAGGCACCAGTAGACATCTCATGTTGGATAAGGCAAGACAAGCATTCAGAGACTAGAAGGAAAAGGTAAGGGGAAATGGGGTCCCCCTGCCTTATTCCTCTAGAAGGCACCACATACCCAGCAGAAGAGCCATTAAGTTTGAAGGAGAAAGTAGCAGACTGAACACATGCCATAATCCAGTTAATAAAGTTCAGATGGAAGCCCATTTTGTGCATTATTTTCCTGATGCTTGCCCATTCAATTCTGTCAAATGCTTTGGACATATCAAGTTTTAGAGCCATATATTTAGTAGGTCCTGATCTGTGTCTGTTTAGGAAATGAAAGACCTCATGCGCAATGATCACATTTTCCATAAGATTTCTATCAGGAATAAAAGCTGATTGAGTATTACTAATGCACAGGGGGAGGCAGGGCTTTAATCTATCTGCAAGGATCTTGGATATTACTTTGTAAATAACCTCACAAAGACTTATAGGTCTAAAATCCCCCACAGTGATTGGAGCTTGACATTTTGGGACAAGAGTTAATAAGGTGTGGTTCCAATTTTTTAGTAAATAGCCAGAAGTGAAGAATGAGAGTATAGCTTTGCACAAATCATATTTTATGATGGGCCAGAAAGATTGGAAAAATGAGGGAGTCATACCATCCCAGCCAGGGGCTTTGTCAGGATGCATGTTGAAAAGTACTGCCTTTATTTCCTCTTCAGTCACCTGTGTCAGAAGAGAGTGATTCTGGTCAGCTGTGATGGATGTGGGAATGTAGCTGAGCAGGTGGCTAATATCCACAGAGCCTTCAGAGGTCAATAAGTTCTGGTAGAATTCTGATAGGCAGGCCTCAATTTCCTCTCTGGTATCACATGTTGTGTTGTCTGGTTTGGTTAGTCGGGTAATGGAGTTAAGCTTTCTTCTTTGGAGGGTGTAGGCATGGAAGAATTTTGTATTTTTATCACCCTCCTTGAGCCATTGTGCACGAGACTTCTGTTTTCAGAAGACTTCTTCAGCTTTATAGGCATCATCAAGCTGTTGTTTTAAGGCTTTCCATCTATCCCAATTCCTAGCACCACCTTGCTCTCTTAAGCCAGACATTTCTGCATTCAATTTTTCTATAGTTTTGGCCGAGTTAGTTTGGAGAGTTCTACTCCATTTCAGCAGGGTCACTCGGGTGGCTTTAATTTTCTCTGAAAGGGTGAACATGGCTGAGCCAGTTACAGGTTGGGCCCAAACATTTTGAATTTCCTCTTTGATTCTTGGCTGCTTCAACCATCTCTTATCAAAACAGAAGGCTTTTTTCCTGCGGTTCTGAGTAATGCCAGTATGGAGAAACAGAAGATTGTGATCAGAGGCACTTCTGAAGACATTGAGGACTCTAGCATCTGGATATGAGGCATGCCAATTCAGCGAGGCCACCATTCTGTCAAGTTTTTCCTCAATATACCCCTCTGCAAGTCTATTGTTCCCCCAGGTGAAGGGATAGCCTTCCATGTAGATTTCATGTCCTCCTATGTTGGCCAAACAAGTTCTAAAACCCCAAAAACTAGCTTCAGGTCTAAGTCTGCCTCCATTCTTTTCACCTTGACATAGAATGTCATTCCAATCCCCTGCTATCACCCAACTGTTACCCCATTTAGTCTTTGCTTGGCAGAGATATTGCCACTGGTCATACCTGGTAGCTCTGCAGGGACTGAGATAGACAAAAACAAACCAGGACCTGTGAGTATTGGCCTTCAGACTGAACTCTATTTCTATACAAAAAGGTTGACAGAAGATTTGATGGATGTCAACTTCCATATTCTAAAATACTAGTAAACCTCCTCCCTTGTTAATAGGGTCAGAAACTACCCATCTATCTTCTACTCCTAGGTTATTGCATACAGTAGAAATGAATTTTTTAGATTTTCTGGTTTCGCATAGAAAAGCAAAATTTGGGCAGTGGAATCTCCAAGATTCCTTGAGCTGGGGAACTGTAGAGGGTCCGCCCAGACCTCTACAGTTCCACACCAGAGCTGTCATTTATCACCTCGGGGCCACTCGAGGCTGGCTTCCTCCACCTTATCAACGGAACACTTTTGCTTTTTCTTGAGACTGTCTTCATTGTCTGAGGTGCCCTTGGGGTTTGGATTTACAGCTTCCTCTTGTCTGACTCTTTTGCTTCTCTCTTGAATTTCAGCTTTAGGAGGGCCCATAGAGGAACTAGCACCTGCTAACTTGGCCTGCCTTCTAGTCCATGTCCTTTTCTGACCCTTGATGGTAGTGTTCTCTGGAGTTATGGTTGGTTGCTGCTGAGTTGCTGCCACAGAGAAATCCATAATCTGCTCATTGACTGGTGGTGGACTTTTATTTGAGAAATCCATAAGCTGGCTTGTGTTGCTTCAGATGGGGCCTTTGGAGTATGCACAGTTAGGATCTTATTGGAAGAGTCTATTTTTTCCAGTGAGGGTGCAGTAGAATTGCTGGTACCAGCTTCCTGGGTATTCTCGGCAGAAGAGTTCCTTTGAGGATTATTGGTATTTTGTGGTGCAGGCATGGGTTCAGAGGATTGACTTGTCCTGGGTGATGACGGAGAAGGACCTGCACTAGCTTTGAGCCAGTCGCCATATTGCCCTTCAGTGGGAGTGCCTTTAATAATATCATCCATTTTATAGCTGCAACTTCGGTCAAGGTGCCCAATTCTACCACAGTAATAGCACAGGTTAATTAATTTTTCATATTTGAACTCAATTCTCCGAATTTTGTCTCCCAACTGAATGCAGGTACATCTCATCAAAGGTTCTTTTAGATCAATAGTGACTAGAAGTCGGAGATATCTCCCACAATTACCAGGTCCTGAGCTAATATTGACATATTTCACCGACTTGAAAGCTTTCCCAATCTTTAGTCCAACATCTGTACAGAGCCAGTTAAAGGGGATATTGCCTACCTGCACCCAGATGTCCATTTCCTGAAAGCATTCATGGTTTGCTGTAAGGTCTTCCTGCCACTCTTTGAGGAGGATGTATTGATTTTCAAAGGACCAGTTCTTCCCGGCTTGGACTCTGGTCTTCTCTGCTTCTGAGTCAAAAAGGAATTGAAAGAAGTTCGGCTCAATTTCCCGAACTGTGAGTGCACTTTTGAGCTGCCACACCTGTGACATTGTTTTTTTGAGCCCAAAGAGATGGGCCTTTCTATCACCAACAATTTTCCCAAATAAACTCTTTCGGCATTCATCGGCGCTAAGGCGTATGTCGGAGGTGTCAAGGGGGATGATATTATCCTCTTTTTGGGAGAGGGAGAAGCTTTGAAATCTATCAGGTAGGTCTTCTTGCATAATGGTAATAGATAGTACAGATTCAATAGAAACAGGGAGAAGAAAGAAGGAAGAAGAAAGGGTTAGAGGACATAGATCAATGAGGATGGTAGGAATTTAGCAAAGGTAACCGGATACCGGTAATTAGCCAAAACCTTCCAAAAGAAGAAGATTCCCGACCGGAAACCGGTACAGCTATGACCGAAAACCGGTAAGATCCAACCGGAAACCGGTAAGAAGTGTGTCTTCTTTGTGGGAATTTCGCCGACTATTTGTTTCAGACCAATTTGCTTATATAATAAGGTTGTTGGAAAAATACTTTTGTAGTAAGTGTGATTAAAAAAATAAATTGGCTGACTTACTATTCTAAGAAACTTTTAAAAAACATGAGCATCTTTTATTTTGAAACATTTGAGATTTGAATGAAATATATCATCAAAATCGTATCCACATTTTATGGTAACTGAAATCAGTTATGTATGCATATATATATAGGGTTGAGTTCAAGTGAGAATGATGCTTAGTGAAAGAAAAAGAATAAATTGTAACCATTAGATCGGATGATCCTATGACTAAAAAAAGTAAAAATTATACCTTCATTAAGGGTAATGTGGTAATTGTCCACACACAAACAGTGGGACCCACGTCTCCACCAGCTCACATGTGGGCTCCACTACACCTCACTCCACTCTCTCTCTCTCTCTCTCTCTCTCTCTCTCTCTCTCTCATTACCTCTATCTCACACACACAACTCACACACAACCCACCCGTCACGCCCCTTCACACACACACACACACACACGTTATAACCGCCGAACTTCCATGGCGGCGCAGCTGCTCCGACTTCTGCTGGAATCGTGACTCACCAACGTCCGCAGCAGCAAGTCCATCATCTATCGCCTCGCTGCCGGAAGCTCACCGCCGTTCAACTCGCCGTCTCTGAGATCCTCATCCACTGCGAATTCTGTCGCAAACTGGCCTCTGCTGCAATCATACAACCACCGAAAGCACCACTTATCCCTCCGGCCACCTAAGCCAATGTCCGCGACGAGCGAGTTCGTTCAAAAGTCCGGTCGAACTCCACCCTGCTCCGCCATCATGTACAACGTCGTCGGAGAGTTCGTTCCCAGCATCGTCTAAGGGTCTTCATGTCCAGCGATGCAGCTGCGGCCGAGACGAAATGCCGAGATGACAAAAGTGTCTGCAAATTAAATAATGGATCTGCAACTTGATTTTGGGATTGGGGTTAATATTTTTCTCTTTTCTTTTTCAATTTGGTCGATCTGATACTTGATTTGGGGATTAGGGTTAATTTGGTTTCTTTCTTTTTTTTCTTTTGAAAATTAGATATTGTTCAAGGACCTATTTGCAATTTTTTAAATGTTGATTTTTATAAAATAATATAAGAAATAAATTATGATAATAAATAAATAATATAATAAAATGATAAATAAAACTTTAATTATTTAGGTTAATTCGATGTACAATTATATATATTAAAACTAGTTTTCCAATACACATAATTTATATGGGAAGGTATAAATTAGCGCACTTTATATTGTTGCACTTTATAAAACAACACGTTGCACTTTATAAAACAATATGTTGCACTTTATCACCACAATCCACAATTAATGTCAACAGTTGTCACCAAAATATTACTCAATATAAATTTATAAAACGGATCTACATAATATTTTAATATTCATAACATCAAAAAACACAGGTATGCTAACGTATGAAAATTTCATTATTGCACCGTATATATCAACATGTTGCACTTTATATAACAGTACATCGCACTTTATAACACAACATGTTGCACCTCAAAACATCACGCTACATCTATCAAAATTGTTGTAATTATGCTAATCGATCGAATAATATTAGTTGGATAAATGTCGGATTTCGTTTTTTTAAAGAAACAAAATAACCAAACATGATGAACTATATGAAAAATATTACCGATTTTTTTTTACTTATATTTTTTTTTATGAATATTTTTTATATCTATATTTTTGTGTATTGCGATTGCACGTTAGGGTTATATGGGTTGCACTTAAATGCTTAACAGATTGCACAAAATCGATCGAGATCAACGAATAGAAATTCAGTACGAAATTTTGTATTTTGGTCAATTGTTATTATTACTTTTATATATATTGGGTATTTCAGTGTGATTTTATTTTTTATTCAACTAACCAAAATAAAAAATAAACTATATTAAAAATAATAATTTTTATTATTATTTTTTATTTGATTTGTATTTTTTTTATTTTTAGTTTTGTTAAAATTATAATAGAACCTATCCACACACACTGTATTGTGCACCGTCAGTAAATTGAAATCTCTGGTTAGTAGCAATTCTCATACAATTGTGGACATTCTCTATAATTATTGTTCATTTAATATATTAGTGTGCAATTTATATATCACTAGTATTTGATCATGTGCATTTGCACAGATATAAAAAACATTTGTTTGTATTTATTAATTAGACATGTACTTCTATAATATAAAAATTATTACTTTTTCATAAGTTATTTATATCATTCAAAATTAATTGAGATTTAAATTTTATTTTAACCATGCAACGTTTACATTAATAACATGAATAAAATAATTTATATATTTGTGGCATATATTAAGAAAATTAACATAAATAAAAAAAATATTGGTGTTTCTGATTTTTAGAAAAAAAAAAAAAAATGTGTCAATCATACTTTTATTCCAACAATGCAACCAAATATAGCGGTTACAACTCTGAATGTGCCAATCAACTTTAAGTTCCAACATTAGCCGTTACACATTTGAATATTTGCTACCAAATTTAGAATTAATAATTAGTAACTGATCCAAAAAATAAAAATCTATATATTAAGATGTAACGATTTTAGCAAATTAATGAGTAATTAATTGAAAAAATGTAACTCCTTTTGGAGGGAAATGAAAATAGGTTTTATTAAATGTTTTATTAAATGCATCATCTAGTAATTATATATACTAGTAATCAACTTGTGCATTTGTACAGAGAAGAATACTTTAAAAAGATAACAATATTAAAAAAACAAAAATAAATCATAATTTAATTCATGAAAAAAAAATATGAATTAAGAAAATAATTTTCAAAATTGATTTTGATCAAGTAATTGATATGGAAGAGCTGTGTACAACCATTTTCTTTATGCTAATACACCCGACCATTTTCATGAGTGGGTGACTTAAAATTTAAGTACAGTTTTGTAACTCCCTTGATTGGTTTATGCTCATAATTTATGGCATTCAAGAAAGTTATTTTGTAACCTAAAAATGAAATTGAATGCTGAAAATTTTAGAGGGAGAATAAAATTTAATGCATGAGAATAAAATTAAATGTTTTGTTGCTCCTCTTTATATATATATATATAGATATATATGAATTAATGTGTATTTACTATTTTTTATAAATTACACATTTAACACATGTATTAAATTGTAATATATTAAACTTTTTAACAATTGCAAGTAAGTCCCTATAAACTATAAAATTCTAAAAAATAAGCCCAACAAATCAAATACCAAACACAGTCATTGTCCACTTTTCATCCGACAGCTAGCCGCCGCCTGACCCTCGTCCGCAGTCAACACTGCGACAGCCCTGCGCCACCATACATGTCGTCGTCGCCGCTTTCGAGATCAGCCGGAACAAGAATGCCAATCGTCTCCCTTGGTCGTCGTCTACAAGGCTTCGTCGCTGAATGCCTCACGTCCGTCCGTCGCCGCCTCGCCTCGCTCAGACAGCCACCTAATCGACTCTTCCCCATCCGCCACCAATCGATTCGTGTCCGGCCGCCGCCGCTCGATTCGCCTTCGTCAGCCGCCGAGACCATCGTGTAGAGTCCGTCCTCCGTCGTGTCATCTCGCCTCCGCCGCCGCCATGTCACCTTGCCTCCGTCGCTGCCGCGTAGAGTTTCCTCTGTCTGGCCGAAGTTTGTGTGCAGTTCTCTGTGTGTGTGTGTGTGTGTGTGTGTGAGCAAGTGTGTCGTGTGCGTGTGTGATGTAGGTGTTGCTGTGTGTGTGAGAGAAATCAGGGAGAGAGAAATTAGGATGGTTTGTTATAGGTCCCACATTATGTGTGGATTGATTTATAATGATTAAAATACCCTTAATAATTAGTCAAATATATACATTTGACCAATGTGTGTGTTAATTTACCATATTGCCATTAATGATTGACCACAGTTTGATTGATCATGACCATTAACTTGATGGATCAAATAGTTTGGATTTATTCTCATTTCTTTCATTATCTTCCTTTCTCATATGATCCTTTCTTTCTCTCTCTCTCTCATATGAGAAAGAGAAATAGTGAAAGAAATAAGAATGATTCTGTACCATTTGATCTACTATATCAATGGCCATGATCAAGTCAAAATCAACTAAAAAGTGAAAAAAATGTAATGACAATATGGTAAATAAATTAACATATTGTGGTCAAATATTAGCATTTGACCACATATTGGGGATAAACTTGTAATTTTAAATAATAGCAACATTAGTGGGACCCACTTATATAATAATTATTTTATATACTCACACCCCATCACCTAGCCTACCTGCCCACACACACAATTCACGAAACACACACACACACACCAAACACACACTTATTCACAATGGAGACCGCCCGTCGCCGCCGGATCGACGGCCAATGGCGCCCGCCGAATTCGACACCAGAGGCCGCCCGTCGCCACTAGACGCATCAATCACCGCCATTTGACGGTGCCGGAATACTGCAGATTGAGATTTGAACCCTATCCGCCTCTGAAATCACCTCCATCGGCGACGTTATCAAGTTTCAGGCCGCCGCCGCTGCCGCCGCCAATTCGTTGGCCAATGGCGTTCGCGAGTGTCGCCGGTGGTTTCAGTTCTGATTGACCTCTACAACCCCCTACACAGTTGCGAATTGGGATTTAATGTCGCAGAGCCATGTCCGTTTAGGCGGGGCTTGTCCGGTCGGCAGGGAGGTCTGACGACGGGGAGAATGGATTTGTGGGATGAGAATGAATGTGTTATTTTTCTGATTTACAGTTTCAAGTTTTTGATTGGGGCCTTAGTTGGAGAATTTGATATGCTTAAGGGTTGAAATTGCAATGTTTGAAATTTTAATGTATTTCAATCTAGTACTTGTGGCAAATTGATGATTTAATAAAAGTTTTAGGGGCTTAATGAAAAATGTATCATTTTTAATATATTACGATTTTGTTCATAGGTCATATCCGTAATTAATCAAAATTTGATTATTATTTTAATAATTTTATATTTTAATTGTTGAAACTAACTTATATATTTTATATAAAAGTGAACTAACAGATTATTTAAAATGCAATATGTTTAGGGAACTATTTTGCAATTCCTACACTTTTAATATAATGTTTATTTTTATTTATGTATGACATTTTATGGTTAAATAAGTATTAATTTATGCACAATAGTGTCACATTAGATGCACAATATTGTGTGTAGGTGTGCACTTTAAAAAAATAATGTCACATGAATACGAAATTATTAAAAAATTTGATAAATAGGCCATTTTTACGATATTGAATTGCACAAAATGAAATGTAATAGTTCGAACTAAACAATTCGACATAATCGATTTAATTTGTCGGTTATCACAAATAACTAAAATAACTGACATAAATTATATCATTTATGTTTAATATTTTTTTATTTGATATTTTATATTATTTTTTGATTCAACATTTAGTATTTACGTGAACGAAATATATCGTGCAATGTAACATCTATTAAAGTGCAATTTGTTCAACACTATGGTGCACGGTGTCGGTCTGTATTGTGCAGATTGAACCAAACGAATTTTTGCCTGAAATCAAAACTTCGTTTTTAGAGTCTCACTTGGCTCTCCTTAGGGTCAAAGAATTGGCCTGGCGGAAAGAGAAGAGTCTTTCCAACGACTAAAAGACTAGTACCCTCCAACTGTAGCAACAGTAATACCATCAAGAGTGTCAAGACTTAGAGCTTCTTCTCAAGCAGCCTATGAGAGTGCGTAGGCAGAATGGGGAGAGTTTAAGCCCTTGAATTGAATACCGATCATTTTCTATTTACGAAGAAGAACTATCATCTCATCTCCTAGAAGATGGAGGGGAAGATAGACTATTTCAACAAAACTGTTGACCTTCTCAGATTTCGAATGAGATTGACCGGACCTGAGTAAGCAAAATCCAACTCTCGCCGCTAGACATTGAAAAAATGAACATAGTCAATTGGTTTATTCTGTTCGAATTACAGAGTTATCCTAAATAATTTGTTGTTTATATTAAAATTATATTTAATATGTTAATAACTTTATTTATTATTTTTTATATTATTTTTTTGTTTAATAAAATTGAGTTCGGTCGGTTTCGATCTCTAATATGCAATCCGATAATCGTGATAAAGTGCAACGTATTATTTTGTAAAGTGCAATGTGTTGTTTTATAAAGTGCAACGTGATAGTGTATTATTCGAACTATAAAATGCAACGTATTATTTTGTAAAGTACAATGTGTTGTTTTATAAAGTGCAACGTGATAGTGTATTATTCGAACTATAAAGTGCAATGTATTGTCTTGTAAAGTGCAATGTGTTGTTTTATAAACAAAATGCACATTTGACAATCACTAATTATTTTTAGATTAGAAGTAAATTAAAATCTATTGAAGCCTAATAACTAAGCATGTAATTTTGCAACATAGGATCCCGAATCATGCGAGCCTGTGCGTCACTTAGGCTCAACACGTTTTGAATTAATATATCGGGGGATAAGTAGATAGATACATGGGTCATTCTACCGTCAGGTACCCTCGTACATGCCTCGTAGATACAAAACAACAGGTATGCCAAGTTAGGCTAATTGCCGCCCTAGAAGAGTCTTTTAGGCTGATTTTCTTTTTTCTTTTTTTCTTATCCTTGGCTAATGCAAAGCTTGGCATCCAAGGATATGTTCTTATCTTCCCCAAAATCATCAAAAGGGAACTAGACTACTGACACAGCCCTAGCCTAGCTCAACTACCACAAAAGAAAGGACTAACAAGTTCCCAAAGCAAAACAAATAAAAACCAGAAACAAGAAAATAACCTATACAATCAAACAGTCAGACTAACAATATCAAACAGCCAAGGGACACTACAAATTATTGAATTCCAGCCATTCCTCCATTGCCATGTTCACCACTGCCCTCTCTTATCTCCAGCAGCTCTAAAACACCCACATATTTCTTACCTTCCAGACCCACCATAGCAAGTACGCTATGAACTGGATTGTTGCCTCATTATCTACAGTATATGGGATAGAGCACATCTCAGTCCACCAGTGAGAGAAGCTATCAGCATGGTGTGACAGTCCATCCCAATTGACTGGTGCAAGCTTCCAAATCATTAAGGCTTTTGGGCATGTAAAGAAAAGGTGGTGCATAGTTTCAGTAGTCTCTCCACAGACTTTGCATTTGGTATCAATTTGCACTCCTCTCTTAGCTAGTCCAATGCTGACTGGTAGAATGTTGTTCACACACTTCCACAAAAAATGTTTTATCTTCCCTTTGATTCTCAGCTTCCAAACTCTCTTTCTCATGTTTTTGGTTTGTGCTTGTCTTTTGCTATGTTCTGCAATGTCCAGCTGCTTCCACTTCTCTTTCACTAAGTAGTCATAAGTAGCTGCCACAGAGTGCTTTCCTTGTTTTCCACAGTGACATACCAGTCTATCCTCCTGCCCGGGGTTAAGGCTAGTGATTTTCAGAATTGCAGCTTACTCTTGTGCATTGAAGATTTCCTGAAGAATGTTCATTCTCCAGTGTCTTTCTGTGCATCAATCAAATCACTTACTTTGAGAATGTTAGAGTGTGGTGGGGGCCTGCTCTTGGCATTGAACCCAAGTAGTTCAGGGATCCATGGGTGTTCAAAAATTTTGATCTTGGACCCATTCTTCACTTCATATCTCAGACCCATTGTGCAAGAGTCTCTGACTTTTAGCCAACTGTGCCAGAGCCATGATCCAGTTTGCTTCTGCTTCACTGAGAAAAAATTGTCCCTTGGAAAATATTTGGCTTTTAAACATTTGCTAACCAACAGATTGGGCTGAGTTAGCACTCTCTAGATTTGTTTGGTTATAAGAGCCTTATTCATCAACTGAATATCATGGAACCCAATTCCTCCCTTGTCAGTAAGCAAGGTCATTAGATTCTATGCTTTCCAGTGGATTTTTCTGCCCTCAGTGTTACCTTTGTTCCACCAAAAAGCAGCAAACAGTCTAGCAATATTTGTACAGACATCCTTAGGGATTAGAAAACAGGACATAGAGTACACAGGGAGAGCATTAAGCACTGATTTGACCAAGATCTCTCTACCAGCTGAGGACAGGAACTTGTTTTTCCAGTTTACAATTTTATGTTCAACTACTGCAGTTATGAAGGAGAATGTATCAACTTTATTACTCCCAATTCCTAGAGGTAAACCCAAACATCTGGATGAATTTTGGGGGGAATGTCCATCAATAAGTTGCAAATGGAGAATTTAGTGTTAGGAGAGGTGTTTCTGCTGATGAATATGGAGGATTTTGAGAGGTTAACTTTCTGGCCAGTTAGCTTTTGGTAATTGGCAAGGATGTTAAGAATGGACTGAGCTTGTGTTGGTTCAGCTTTAGAAAATAACAGAGTGTCATCTGCAAAGAACATGTGAGAAAGCTTGGGTCCATTCTTTGAGATTTGAATACCACTGAGGTTGCCATTCAGATTCTCCAATTAATCAGATGTGAAAAACTTCAAACACCAATATGAAGACATAAGGGGACAGTGGGTCTCCTTGTTTTATTCCTCTAGTGGGAGTAACATAGCCACACATTTCTCCATTTACATTAAATAAAAATGATGCAGAGGATATGCAAGCAATCACCCAATTCACAAATTTAGTGCAAAATCCCAGTTTTAGCATAATTTGACTCACACTATTCCATTCTATCCTGTCAAAAGCATTTTCCATGTCTAGTTTAAGAGCCATAAAGGAATTGCTACCAGTTCTGAGTCTGTTTAGGTAATGTATCACTTCATGAACAAGGATCACATTATCAATGATTTGTCTATTAGGAACAAATGCAGCCTGGTTATCAGAAATACAAAGGGGCAAACATGGTTTTAAGTCTAAGAGCTAGCAATTTGGATATGACTTTGTAAGTGACACTGCATAAACTAATGGGTCTGAAGTGAGAGACAATCTCAGGTTTTTGGATTTTAGGGATAAGAGTGATCAAAGTATGGTTAATACTTTTGAGTAATTTACCAGAACCAAAAAAATTTCTAACAATGGAGCATAAATCAGGGCCAATAAGATACCAAAATTTTTGATAAAACAAAGAGGTCATACCATCAATTCCTGGAGCTTTCCTTGGGTTGATACTGAATAGGGCATTTTTTATTTCATCATCTCCAAAGGGTGCTGTGAGTTCTGAGTTCAGATCTTGAGATATAACTGGAGTGATGCCTTGCAGGATTCTCTCCCCCTCTGCAGAGCCTTCAGAGCTAAAGAGCTTGTCATAGAACAATTCAATACACTTCTCCACTTCTTCCTTACTATCACAAATGAGTCCTTCCTCAGTGAGAAGCCTATCAATCTTGTTCCTCTTTCTTCTTTGCAAGGTCTTAGCATGTAAATATTTTGTGTTTTTATCTCCATGCTTCAACCAAAACAATCTAGCTTTCTGCTCCCAATGCTGCTCCTCCTGCTTGTAAGCTTCATCCAAATCTTTTTTCAATTCATCCCATTTCCTCCAGTCAATCAGCTGCCCTCCTTTCCTCATCTCAGATAATTCATTGCTCAGTCTAGCTATCTTCCTTGCATTCTCAGATCTGAAACTACTGCTCCACTTCAGAATTTTCCACTCTTGTTGCTTTGATTCTCTACTGGAAAATGTAGATGGGAGTACCATTATGTTCTAGCTGCCAGCCTTTTTCCACAGTTTCATTGAAGCCAGGTTTTTCCAACCATCTTCTATCAAACACAAACCTTTTTTTCCTGTGTATGTTGCTTTGAGTACAGTCCAGCATCAATAAATTGTGGTCATAAGTTCTTTTGAAGATGTTGTAGACTGAGGCATTGGGATAAGCTGCTGTCCACTCCAGGGACCCAAATATCTGGTCCAGTTTTTCTTCCACAAAGCCCTCTGCCTCTCTGTTGTTGCCCCATGTGTAGGGGTGACCCACCATAACAATCTCAAGCATGCCCATTTTACTGATGAATTCTCTAAAAGGAGGAAATGAAGCTAATGGTCTCAGCCTGTCTCCTTTTTTTTCCTCTGAAGCAATAAGGTCATTCATGTCACCCCCTAAAAACCATAGATTGCCCCAATTCTGCTTGGCTTTTATATGGTAATTCCATTGTGATTGTCTGGTATGACTATCTGTGCTTGCATAAATGAAGATCCCCCAACATATCCTAGATTGCTTCTCGTCCCAGAATTCAACTTCTAAGCAAAAAGGATGTTTTATGATGTTGAAGACTTGAATCTCATTGTCCCAGCAAAGAAATAAACCTCCACTCTTACCAACTGGTTCAACTGCAGACCAATCCCCCACTGACAAGTTTTTACAGTCTGTTTGAAGAAATTTGTTCTTTTTTTTTGTTTCTAAAAGAAAAAGAAAGCTTGGGTGATGGAGCTTCCATGTCTCCTTGATTTGGGAAACTGTAGAGGGGCCACCCGCACCTCTACAGTTCCACACCACAACCTTCATTGGTCACCTTGTGGTCCTAAAAGGCTGGCCACAATCACCTTATTCCCTTCTTCCTGAGATGGTTTATGTTTCTTGTTAGGGCTGGTAGGTTGAGTCCCTGGAATGTCTTCTGGTACTTCTGAGATGGTTATAGTAGTGATGTTTCTCTTGCCTCTTACAGGACTTGGTATGATTGGAGAAGGTTTTTGTTTCACCTCTGTGGACTGTTTCCTTTTCCAGCCTCTAGGTTTTCTCTGAAGAGGACTATCAGAGTTTCTGGTGATATCCCCTATCTGAGTTTGTTCTATGTGAGGGCCTGGTTGAAGAGGTTGTTGTGAGGTGGCATTTGGGTTAAGGCATGTGTCAGTATCCATTTATGCAATGGTGTGAATAGTGGAAAAAACTGGAGGAGGAGTGGTAAGTATAGGAGGAGGAGTGGGAAGGGTGAGAGCTAGGTGGTTAGAGAAATTGGGGTGATTAGGTAAGGTAGGGCTTTGATTATTGGTGTCTGGGGATTTAAATTTGTTGATGGTGTTTGACTGGTATGTGTTTGTTTGGGTGTTATCATTTGGGGTTGTTGAGGTGGTTTTGAAGAAGGTATTGCTGCTAGTGAAATGGTCCTCTGAATTAGCATGATGGCTGGAGGAATGAGTGAAGGAATATTCAGAAGCTCTAAGTCAATCTCCATATAAGCCTTCTTGTAATTTCTGCTGCTTGATATCCTCTGTTCTTTTAAGAAAAGTTTTGTCTACATGGCCCAATTGTCCGCAGTAGTAGCATAGGCTTACTAATTTTTCATATTTAAACTGCACCAATATCTTTTTGCTCCCCATTTGCAGAGTTGCACACCTGATTATTGGTTGGTGTACATCGATGGAAACTAAAAGCCTTATGCATTTCCCAGCTAAATTTCCTCCGAGAGGCACCAAAACATCATTTGTGCTCTTGAATGCTTTTCCAATTTTGATCCCTACCTCAGAGGACATCCAATGTAGATGGACATTCTATGCTTGCACCCAGATGTCAATTTCTTAAAATTCGGGGTGGTCTGGTGTGATATCTTCCCTCCATTCCCTCAATATCAAGATATGATTCTCGAATGTCCATCCTATCCCCTTACTCACCTTAGCTTTGTCTTCGCCGTTTGCAAAGATAAACTGGAAGAAGTTAGAGCCAATTTCTCGAACAATGACAGGGGCTCTGATATGCCACATTTGATTTACCGCTCTTCTAAGCCCTATTATGCCGGCTTTTTTCTGTCCAATGATTTTTCCCACCAAACTTCTGGCACAATCCTCCGCGCTGTGGTTAATGTCTACCGATTTGATATCGATGACTTTTGCTTCATTTTCCGACAGCTGGAAGGAACTAAGCTTGCTTACTATATCTTCTTCCATGAACAAAGAACTCAGGAGCACCCGCAAAGGAGAATCTGAAATCTACACCAGCAAAAGATAGAAGGAAAGCAAAATACAAAAAAGAAAACCCTAATAATATTTAAGACGATGAGTAAGGTAGCTCCATAAACACACTATCCAATGACATTATTCCCAATGGCTCTTAACCTATGCAGGAGTAGAGAGAAATTGTGAATCAATTTACTGAGTACCTGGAATTAGCCCCAAATCGTTGAGGATAATGAAGAATTAAGCTGAAGGCGCTCGTCACGAGAGAGAATTTGCTCTCAAGAGAGAATTTTTTGAGAGTGTGTTCTTTTGACTTTTTTTTTGGAATTGATCTAGCAACAACATTATTATTTCCGGAATTGATTGAGGAACAACTTTATTATTTTTCCGAACTAGTAAAGTGCACGTGCATCGCACGTGGTGGCGAGTGGTTTTGCCGATTAAATATCGTAAAATAAATTAATTAATTTATTAAACATATCATTGCAGGAACGAAGTAAATATAGAACAAATGAGCTTTCAATAGTTTTTTTTAATGACATCATGATGTCCTAATATACAAAGAAAGAAATGACATATTACAATCCCAACAAAAAAAGTCCCTAATGGAAAAAAAAACAGTAAATAACTAAATAAAAAGAGAGATTTTTTTTCTTTCATTTTGGTTTTGACGTTTTCATAAGAAACACTCATACTCGTTGGAGCCCAATACATCAATAGTATTGCGAAATTCTTTTTAATTCATTTGACAAACGTCTACTTTATTCAAATACTTACAAATATTCTGGCCAAATCAAACTTCATGATTGTATAATCTTTATAAGGTATTTCTACTGACAGTTCATGAATATCTTTGTAAAATAACCAACCGTATCATTAAATTGTTGAACTTTTTTTTTTATCATTTTATAAACTACTTCATTACTATGTCCATATATATAGACAAATTGGTACCTTTCCCATGGAGACATTGCCCCACGGAGTGAGAATGAATTTTATCTCCAAATAAAAGTTAACTTTCAAAATCTTGGTTACATGTACTTCTCTTGAGACGCTAAATTACTTTTTGAAATCACCACATTACATGAAAGTACGTACTGTAAAGTAATTGCACATATGTTCAAGCAAATACACAATGAGATTGTAAATAATCCTATAAAAAGAGGACAATTTCATTCAATCATTTAAAAATGTTTTGATCAAGCTTCGACATTTTTTTTCCAATGTTATTTATTTGAAAGACAAACGAACTATATAATCTACTTTTTGCAGATAATTGATTATCTTAGTCGTTGCAATGATTTTAGCGTTGTTTATCATAATATCTTTTACATTCATTCAAATTTGCAGTACTTATGTGCCTAATAACTTTTTTGATGTTGTTATTGTCCAATTTATTTGAATCATACATAATGCTTCGAAAATTCAAGATAAAGATCCTTTCTTGGACAAAAAAATAAAAATAACAAAAAAATAAAAAAATAAACAATGAGACAATATTAAGAAACATATCATTTGTTAAATATTTGAGAAGAGAAGAATTATAATTCTATTATATTATGATACTCTTAGTCGCTCTGTGAACTTTATTATTACGAAGTTATTATAAAAATTTATGTTATGTCTTACAATATTTTTATTATTTTAACTATATTTAAAATTCTTGATAATATAGTATCATTATTTATGAGAACTAATTTCTTACATAGTTCATATATTTAGACGCTAGCAAAAAAAAATTAGTAATTTTAAAAGACTTTGTTTCTAGATATTGGTATTCATATTTTTCTAAGAAAATTCAAACTTTTTCTTTTCCCATTGAATTACTATTTCATTTTATTTCTTTCTTATTCAATTCAAAAATAATATTTATTTGTTAAAAGAATGAGAGCATATTTATATATATATTGCGTCTACATATAATGACGTTGTAATCAAAATATCTTATTTATTAGGCTACAACAAATATAATGAAATACGATAAATACTATTTAATATCACTTATTTATTTAGTTATAATAATAATATATTTGACAAAAATGTACATTTATACTGGTTAGAACATTAAAAAGTTTAAGAATTTTTCATTGTTTGATAAAATATTAAGTAATTAACTCATTTCCGTACTCATTGAAAATATATGTTAACCATTGTGGTGTTCCTTTCATGCAGTTATTAAATAATTGTTTAAAATATAACTTATTTATTTCTCCTTTAAATTCACATAGCTAACGTTGGTAATAGTTGTAAGTTTACATCCATTTTGTACGTTTTTTTCCTATTTGTATGAATATTTCAAATTTATGTAAGCAAAATATAACACAAGTTTATCTTAAGTTTTTTTTCATACTTAATAAAATTTGTTTAACATGGATTTATAATTTATTTTATAAGATACTTTTAGGTCCATTTATTATTGTCAATTAGTAATGATATATATGTATGTATATTATTTTATATCGATAGAAATAAGTATATTGTTTTTATTTTATTTACAACACATTGGTCAAATTAAACATCATTTGAAAGAAATGATGTGATATATTACATATAAAAAGGTTAACAAATAAAAAAATATTAAGTATTTAAAAATTGAAAATTTTAATGGTAGACAGTAATTAAATTTGTAGCTGAAAAGAATTAATATTGCCTAGTCTTACATTTTTATTATGTAGAACATCATTCTTACCACTTGTTTAGTTATTATAATACTAATAAAATAATTAAAGACTTTTCAACGTAGATGTATCTTGTTTGTTTTGAAAAAAAATTACTAATTATCATAAATTAAATGAAAATTACATTAAATGTATTATATTTTCTATCATTTTTAAAAATTTTCATAATAATTAGTTGCACGTAATATTATATATAATGTAAATTTTTTTATTGATTTAAAGCCTTATTTTTACTACAAGAAAAATGATGAAATTTTAACAAAAATATATTACAATCGAATTTCAACGACAATCTAACGAATATTTCAATGTTATTACTCCCTTTTGAATTTTCCAATAAAAAGTTTCTAACAAATATTTCAAGAGGCAGATCCATGTTTATAGGCCCAACACAGACTCTCGTCCCAAAACATCTAGGATATATTATGTAACAACAATTGTTGGAATATTTTTCATAATTTTAATCATGTCCCCTATTTTGAAAATAAAACTAAAAGAAAGAAAATATATAATGAATTACTTTACAAATCAACCAATTATAATTTAATCCAACTCATAACTTTATTAAAGTTTTATAACATAAACCCGGTATCACAATTAAAGAAAATATTATAAAATCTCAAAATTACAAATTTACCCTCTAATTCTACTTTTTATTCTTGATGATAACTCTATTCTCTTTTTTGCAACATAATGTTTTCTCTAACTTCAAAATATATTTTTTACATCTTTTTTAACTAATGTATGTGGAATTCTAGCTATATGTTCATAATTTATAAATTCATCAATTACATAGTCGAGTTGAGCGAACTATACTACAATATAAATTTTTTGTTCATAAAAGTTTTAAAAAATATACTATTTTCAGTGATTTTCTTATGTTGAATTTACAAACATTATACTTTTTTTTCTTAAATACTTTTTAACTTATTGTGATTGTATTGTTCTGTTAAAACTTGAAAATATATTACGAATAAGAAAGATGAATTAAGAAATTATAATTTATAAATTATAATGACATTATATTATTTTGATGGTATACTTTTTCTATGAACTAAATATTCTCCAAATATTAATTTATTTTGGATATGCCACTACAATTAGTTTTTCAATGGAACTTACATTGATTTGTTTACAATTCCAATGATAGTTTTATCAGGTTGAAATACGGTCTGACAAAAAAATACGAAAATTCACATAAGAATAAATAATGGTAATTGGAATCATTAAAATCCATTAAAATTTCAATGTAATTTAATTTGATATTTGTTGAAATATCCAATGAAAGTTATACCAATGAAATATCCGTTGAAATTTTCAGCAGAATACCTGCCTTTAGATTTTCCATTGCAATATAGTAATTTTTTTGTATTTTTTTTTAAGTATTAAAATTTTTATGTAGTAGTTTTTTTTAGTCCATAATCTTTTTTCAAAAATCACTCATTATTTTATCTCTAGATTACTCATTAATTTCTTAGTTTAGTTAAATTTCTTACATATTAATTATTAAATAATGAAAATAATTATTATTTTATATATGTAATATGATATTTATATATTATGTTCCAAAAACTATAGCAAATAAAAAGTTAAAAATTAGAACAATCAATTTTATTTTTTTTAAAAAAAAGTTTAACAATTCTAACCTACATGGATTAAAGTACAAATAACTATTGTCTATCACCTAAAACTTACACATATAAGTAATAAGCACAAAAAAATATAAGCGTTTCATAACTCAACTCATTTACATCGATAAGTACAAGTTTTAAAAGTTTATATTTACTTTTATTAATTATGAAATTTTTATTTATTACCTTTTTCATATTTATTAGTAAGTGTTACGATTTAAAATTTAATGGCAATTGGAATCACTAAATACTACTAAAATTTCAATGATAACATGTAAAAAATTAAATGCGAAGACTTATTGCCAAATAGATGAATGTTGAATGCTTAAGATATCTTTTATATTGGATATATTTATAATAGTAAAACTATAATTACAATGATTAGTAAAAGAGAAAGTAAAATTTATTGTAAAATTAGAAGTATGCATAATAATAAATGAAATAAGTTAACTAAAAGTAATTGAACGCAATTGTCAAATAAATTATAAAATATGTTAACTTTTGTTAGTTAAGAATATAAAATAAGATGAGTATTACTATATTACTAATTTGCCATTAAAAATATGTGAAAGTAAGGGTGTTTTAGACAGTTCATTATTTTTACAAAATCACTCGTCCTTTTATAACTAAAAATAATAATAATAAAATAATAATAATAATAATAATAATAATAATAATAATAATAATAATAATAATAATAGTATAGATATAGATTGATTGAGGAACATCATCAAGAAACACACCATTTCTTTTCCCAGATGCAACACAAATATATGCACTAGTTCCATCATCAAATGTGAGTATTGTGATTGAGAAAACAAAATATGTATTCCCTCTGTTGAATATTGATGCAAGAATGAGACAACAAGTACAAGATGATTAACACCATTATTTTTATTTCAAATAAATGACCTGTTCAAAATATTTAGTCTGTTAAGATCCCAATAATTGTAATACTTTTGCTTCTTATATGACAAGGGAGCTAAGACCCTCAAGACGGCATCCTTTGTGTGGCTAAGGATGTCTTTTGAGATAATGTAAGATTCTCTTGTCAAAAACCGAACGAAAGATGGATGCGAATCGAGTCTCCTTCAACTTGAGGAGAAGGAAGAATATTACTCTGTAAATCACAAAGAGGAGATGCAGGACAACTAAATCCCACCACTTTGAATGAGATAACGAGACTCCAAACATATCCTTCACTACATATTCACCCGTTATTTTAGGGTCACCGGGCATTATGGGGTCGAACATCAGCCCCAGCAGTGCATTCTTGTATTCCCCCTGCATTTTATTTTAAATTGAGGCTTGTTTGTTGTTAGTAACATTATTATCCATTATATCATTTTGTTTACAGTCCAATTTAGATTACCTGTAGTGCCCACGAACCATATCCGATGAATGAAACAGGATATCTCCAAATAGGCTTCGGAAGATCGGGCAAGAATCNTATTGACCATAATCAGTTTTTGATTACTTACAAGAACTCCAGATCCAGTTAGGATGCCCATCAAGAAATGAGGAACCAAAGCAGCCACAGTCATCATCACACTCTCCACCATAGCTATGCATCCAAACAGATTGAGAGAGTAAAACACGAAACGGGAAAATTCGGCCTCGAATACCATGTAATACGTGATTGCCCCACTAACTGCCGACATTGCAACCAAGAACGGGAAAGATGAGATGAAGTTTGACAGTATGAACACGCCTACGCCATAATACCCGTTAATCCTTTCTTGAAAAAACACCTGTTTGTCGAGAAAAATCAAAGAAAACATATGGGACTAACAAGTGAGATCAAGGTCTGACTCACACAAGAATTTATTTATTTATTTGACCTTCATTTCCTCGACAAAGGATTGGAAACCTCCAGCGGACATGAAAGATATGAAGCAGACCATGAAACCAGCACAGCCTCTCCTTGCAAAAATGGCTGTATAACTTGTGCCCACATCATAGAATAAAGTCCCGACACATAGAGAAACAATTATAAAGGTGACTAAGCGAGACCAGTAATATCCAGAGTCCCTAAACATGTTCACGAACGACCTTTGTGTCAATGTTGGTAACTGCTTCCAAAATGTTGCTTGGCTTCCTCTAAGTGTTTCAAGTTCAAGTTCTTGCTGAAACATCACGAGTTTGTTAACAAAATTGAATATTGTTTATGTACCTACAGAAACAATAGAAGAAGAATTTGTGGAGATAAATCCACAAATTTACATACGGTTTTGGAGAATTCTTGAAGCTTGATTCTTGCCATTTTTGCATATTCTGATTGCTTGTATTTCTCAACTAGAGTTGATCTTATGTCGGACGCTGTCAAATTCATCAAAGGATCTGATGCTATTTGTCTGTCCTGGTATTGGACAAAACAAAAAAGAGAAAAAAATAAAACAAGAGGAAGAATTGAAAATGTAGGACAAGTGCTAATTTAGTGAAAGTCAGCTCAGAACATTATTATGTTTTTCGACGCCTTAGGATCAAACTTTCACTAACGTGTGCACCTGAACAGTAACAGTAAAATGTATAACATGGATTATTACAGCAGAGAAAGCATGCCAGAACACAAAGAACAAAACTTATACCAACAAGTATACATATATATGTAAGAGGTGTCACTTGAGCTATAAGATCAGGGGAAAGGGACATAAGAATGAATACTTTTTACAATGATTTTTTTCATTATGGGGAAAAGACAAAGTATTA